TGGTAGTTTACCCCTGGAGCCGGATCAAAATGAATCTGTTAAAAGGATTTATTCATTAGTCACATACCTACAACCACACTAGTTAGAACTGTAGCAATGAGCAAATTTCTTCTCCTCTCCTCAGCGTCAGCTTCTTTCTCATCAACTCTCCTAAATTATAACTTATCCTTCACGAGTTCATGGATCAATGGGATTTTTAACATGAAAAAACTGTATGGTAACACTTTGGTTTAAGACCCCATTTATTGCGAAAAAAATATCTAAATAACTGAGGTAGGAACTCTTATATTGTGGATATTGAGATCAACGCTGATCTTGTCTTTTAATTAATCTGCAGATTAATTTTAATGGTATATGATATCCAGTGAAAACTAACAGCCAATCAGAAGCAAGGGCAGTTTGGTTTAGAGAAAACAGAGAAATCACAATCCAAAAAAAATCCAAAAAAGAGGATTGAGCAGAACATCAAAAGTGAACAAAGTGGATATAAAGATTATGCGATCCTGATTGAGTGTCCAGCCCAAATTTACAAAATTAATGTATCTTAAAATATCAGTGATAAAAGCTGAGAGCAATCTTACTAACCAGTCATGTGAAATTGAGCTATTTTTACTCATAAGACCTAGTGTTTAGATAAACTTTTAATATGTATACTGTACACAGTCAGGGAGGTCAATTTTGATCTTTTCACTCGCTTAACCCAAAAAAATTATTATGAGTAATAATATTTAATTTTTCAAGTCAAATCCGTTTTACTTTTTAAGTCAAACTATGGTGTGAGAATTACCAATAAAATTTGTTAACACTAGTGAGAGAACAAATTTATAAATAAAACCTCGAGTAATAAAAGATCTTACGCTGAATTAAAAAAATGTTAATGTAAAAATTTTTAAAACAACTGATTAGGAATTTGAACATTTACTTTTTAGGAAATATTTGGAGTCTGTCCTAGAAAACGATTTAAGGCCCCCCCCCCCCCAGCCCTCCCCCTACTATCAAATTTGTAAATGAACCTTATTTTAAAGCAAAATAATTAATATTTATTTTTTATTATTAAATGGTTAGGTTAGGTTAAGCTCATTTCTGGGCCGAGCGCTGCAGCTAGGACAGGTTCGGGGCCGAGCGCTACTGCCATGAAAGACATAGAAATTTAATTTAAATAATTTTCGATTAAATTAGTGTATATTTAGGGTTAGTTTTGGTTAAGCTCTTTCTGGGCCGAGCACGAAGGCCAGGCTAGGGGACCAAGCACCACATCAAGGAGAGGCTAGAGGGCTGGGCGCTGTGGCCACATGACAAATGATGTCCATGTGATACATGATAACAGTGTCCAAAAATTGTTTTATTGGCACAATATTAATAGCAGAAAGTTCTGAAATTTACCTTTTTCTTTTTCTTTCCGCTCTTCTCAGACTATCTGTTCCAGTATTCCTTACGCTACCAACTTTCTTACCATTGACCCATAACCCATGACCGACCATCTGAAATTTAAAAAATAGATTATTATTATATTGTTAACACAATTAGGGAACAGTAGATTCAGACTATGTATATATTTATATAGTCTATTGTAACCAATTCTAACTGCTCTATCCTTTTGGGTCAATATCCAATGTGTTAAAGTTAAAGCATGAGCCATGGAGTCAATAGGTGATTTCCCAGATATTGGAATTCATATAAAAAATCCCCTTTGTAACCCCAATGGATTTTTAAAATCCTGAATGTTTTGGATTCACAACAGTCGAGTATTTGAGAAATTTTTCTTTGCACGTGTTGGTGTTCATATAAGTGTGAGACATTGTGTAACTAAATACTGCGCATATGCAGCGGAAAATTATATTCTTAGAATTGAACTTGTGACGCCATGGGGTGGAATGGCTTTACTTCCAATTTTTTTGAGCTAAACACCTCTACCTTAAGTTTTAACCCTTTCAACACTTAATGTTGGACATAAAAAGCAATTTTAAACAATAACAAATTATCGGTTGCCATTCAAATTAAATATGCATGCAGGGGGGGGGGGGCTTGGAATCAAATTAAGACTTATAATGATAACAAAAGTTTACAATTACAAATAAAGGAAGAAAAACCATCCCACCCCATAACTCCACAATTGTCCAAACTAACTATCTAACTAATTATATCTGTCCATGCGATTATATATGGGTGTTTCACGTTGAAGAGTTGTAGAGTAACTGACCTGTCTGAAGCTTAAGAAGGGCTGTGCGGGCGGGCCGATACAAAATAAACGGTTCAAATATTCGATTTAGTTTATTTGATCTCCTCTTTTGTATATACGACAGCGAAAACATGTACTATGGAGGTACATAATTATTCCGCTCTCGCACCTAAGACATTGTATCTACAGTGGAGATATATTGAGTATATACTATGTAGGTACGTAATTACTTCGCCATCGCACCTACTAAAGAGGAGATATAGCGGAAATATGGAGTATGTACTATGGTGGTACGTAAATACTCTGCCCTCGCACCTACGACATTGTATCTACAGCGGAGATATATGGAGTATATACTATGTAGGTACGTAATTTCTTCGCCATCGCACCTACTAAAGAGGAGATATAGCGGAAACATGGAGTATGTACTATGGTGGTATGTAAATACTCCGCCCTTGCACCTACGACAGAGTATCTATGGCGGAGATAAATGTAGTATATACTATGGAGGTACATAATTACTCCGCCCTCGCACCTACAACATTGTATCTACGGCGGAGATATATGTAGTATATACTATGGAGGTACATAATTACTCCGCCCTTGCACCTACGACATTGAATCTACAGCAGAGATATATGGAGTGTATACTATGTAGGTACGTAATTACTTCGTCATCGCACCTACTAAAGAGGAGATATAGTGGAAATCTGGAGTATATACTATGGCGGTATAGTAATTTCTTCGCCATAGCACTTATGATGTAGGGGACATGGAGTACATACTATGGAGGTATAGAAACCTCTCCGCTATCGCATATACGACATGGCGGAGACCGAAACATGGCGGAGATCGAATGTTAGCTGGGTATGCTGGCGAAGGCAAAGTTGTACTCACCACCACAGTTAAACTAATAATCCAAGGCAGAACTCTGAAGTTGTCCACCATAGAGGAGAACCTGAACAATGGATCCGCCTTCTCGTTCACCATCCCAGCCAAGTGGAGAGCTTTCACGAGGTCATCAACGTCAAACCATGACGGTCAAGTATCCATCCTGCTAGGGGGGGGATAATCTTCTCTCCTTCCCCACGGAGATCGAACAAGATCCCCTGGGTATGGCCCTCTATCACAGTACTCTCACCAACAACTGCATGGTCTACGGAGGCGTCCCTCCCAACTCCATCACCTGGTCCGAGGCCCCCCTCGCCAACACCGTCAACACCGTGATCATCAACGCGCTGTCTGTTCAAGATGTACAAGATCAACTCCTCCTCCTCACCTCTGCTGCAGAAGATTTTACGACACCTTCCAATCGAGAAAAACTCCTCCAGATCACCAAGGAGAAGAACATCCAGGCCATCATTGACAACACTGTCGTGGACCCCGTCAAAGGAAAGGTCCGAGTTAATTGTCTCTACAAACCAAACCTTCCAAATCTCGGCGAGAATTATTTTGGAGCAACGAAGAGAATCCATGCTCTACATGTTAGAATTGCTAACAAGCCTGAAATTGCAGCTTAAATGGATAAATATATCAATCAACAAATAAACAATGGTAATTACATTGAAATCAACCCTGAAGACCACAGAGACCAGTATCAACTCCATTTCGTAGCCTACAACTTTGTTGTATCTTCCACCAGCTCGTCCACCAAAGTTAGAATGACCACGGACAGCTCTATGTGCACCGAGACCAGCCTCAGCCTCAACAACGTGTCCCAACCTGCCCCTGGAAATGTTCCCAATATGAGAGGAATCCTGTTACGCTCCAGATGTCACCCTCATTTTGCAGTTTATGATATTCAGAAATTCTTCAGATCTGTACTCACCTCTACCAAGGACTCCTTCCTCAGAATAATGTGTGTTCCCTCCAATTTCTTTTCCAGCGATCCTGCTCTTAATCCTACCTGGAGATATTTCAGGGATCAGGCAATCCCTTTCATTGACAGTGCGTCCGGCGATTATGCAACCTGTGCAAAAAAATGCAACTGTCAAGACATTCATCACAGATTCCCCCCCCCCCACCTCCAGCCTGCCATCCTCCAAGCAATCCTGGAGGACACATACATCGACGACGGAGGGGTGGGAGCTAACTCTCCAAGTGAACTCTCTACCCTGCAACGAGAAGTAGAGAGAATTCTCAACAAAGGAGGATTCTTTATTAAAACCTGGGAGAAATCCGGGGAGAATGGAACCAGTAAGTACCTGGGTATGACGTGGGACAGACTCAGGGACTTATACAGCTTGAAGTTTCGCCTCAACCTCCATAAGAAGTCCCATGGAATTCCATCCGCTGCAGATTTAGACTCAGAGTTCTTGCAAGACGAATCCATCCCTGTCACCAAGAAGAACGTTCTATCCGTTGCGTGCCAGTTCTATGATCCCTCAGGATTAGCTGCCCCCCTCATGTTCTCTGTCCGAGCACTGTTCAGTGAGATCTGCCGCGATCCGCAGTGTTCTATCAACTCAATCCTGTCCAAGGAACGTACTACTAAGTTCAGAGATGCAGTCAGAGAGATCCTGCTCACAAGGGAATTATTTTTCCCCAGGCAGGTCATTTTTCAATACCAGGCTCAACTCTTCATTTTTTTCGACGGTTCTCTGCAAGGCTATGAAGCTTGTGTGTATGCTCACTCTGACGATCAGTTCAACCTCATCTCCAGCTCCTCAAAGATATTGGGAAAGTCTGCATTTTCCGCTCCACAATCTGAAATGGCTGGAGCCTTACTCGCCTCCAGGATGGAGCAAAAGATCAATCAGGAACTCTTCAATGTCTCTCTCTCCTCTCCTACGTTCATTGGAGACTCAGAGATCATCCTGAGAATGATCGCTAAAAACTATTCAGCTGGAAATCCTGTATTTTACGGAGTCAGACTAATGGAAATCCTAGCTGCGTCCTCACCCAATAATTGGTTCTGGTGTCCTGGTAACCTCAACCCAGCTGACCTGCTCACCAGATCCGGAACCAGCTGTGCGCAGGTCAACTCAGAATACTGGTTGAATGGTAGTTTCTTACCTCAGAACAAGTCCTCATGGCCCATCATCCCCTGTTCTTCCATCACCTCTGGTGAGATTCCCACCAGGACGGTCAACCTCGAGAGATTATCCCCAGATAACCCTTCCCGGGAATATATTTTGAGTCTTCTACATCACGAACAGAGCCTCTCCACAGTTATCCGGGCTCTAAACCTTCTCCTCAAGGCTTGCAGATCCTGGAGAAATGATCCTACTCGAGAAAGAATTGTCCAGGGAGAACTCACTACTACCTGGAGTTCTATTAAATCTTCCATCTTGTCCTCAGTCCTCAAGTGTTTTACCACAGAGTCGGCACTCATCATTGCCAACAACAAGATGAAACACCTCGTCATTCAGCTGGTGGATGGGGTATATTATGTATCAGACCGCAGCTTCCGTTCCAAAATCGGGGTTCCTCTCATCTGCAAGAAGACTATTCTCGCCAAATGCATCGTGAACGATGCTCACGCTGATCTGGGTCACGGTAGAGATGTCCTCCATGTACTTGCACATATTCAGACCAGCTTCTTCATTCCTGGAATTTGTAAGATGATCACTGCTCTAAAGAAATCTTGCCCTGGATGTATCAAATTGAACAAGATTCCATTCGCAGCATTTGAAGCTGATGTCCCTGACGTCCTCAAATCCATCCAACCCCCCTTCTCCTACTGCCAAGCTGACATCTTCGGACCTGTGTTTGCACAGAAAGACGGTAACAAGACCAAGAGATGGATCCTGGTAATCCTCTGTCTTTCCAGTTTCAGGGTGCATCTAGAAATCCTACACAACTACAGCGCCCAGAGTATCACCAGAGGTTTTAATAGAACATTCGTTCTGAGAGGCACCCCTCGCATCATCTGGATTGATGCTGGACTGAACGTTGTCAAGGCTGGCAAGGACCTGGTCAACACTGAGATGAAGGTCATCTCCAACCTCAATTTGAAATTCACGTCTATCGAATTCAGAGTTACTCTACCTAAACATCATGCCGGTATTGGAGCTGTGGAAAGAATAATCGGTTCCATCAAGAATACTGTCAACAAATCCCTCAACGGACCACACCAGCTGATCATGGATGACGAAGAACTACTTACCTGGACGCATGGAGTCATTAAAAAACTTAACAACAGACCGCTGATCCTTGGAGCACCACTTGGAATCACCCTCACTCCTAACCACGTTCTCCATGGGTTTCGAGAGTGTTTCAGAGATGAGGTCAATCCTACAACATCCATCAATCAACAGATCTCCAGGTGGAATGTTGTCCTCAACTTGTTCCATTCATTATGGGAGCAAGAGTACACCAGACGCAAGTTCACTGTCACCTGGAAGGACCAGGGCAACCCCCCTCAGGTTGGAGATATAGTTCTGTTCAAGAATGAACCTATATACAACAATCCACTCTCAGCTGCCAGGGTGGAGCAGCTCCTCTGCAGAAAGAACAGAGACGTCTATGGTGCTACTATCAGCTATCGGCGTGAAGTAGGTGGACGCAAAATAGTAGTGGACAGACACCTCAACCAACTCTACCCATTCATGAACCTAGAAGCTCAATGTCCTCAAGAAACAGTTCCCAGCCTGACCTCAGACTCCACAGAAGCAAGGAATCTAGCCCCAAGTTCCAGACCGGAACACACACAGGACGAAATCCTCGCAGAGCTCAACGAAATCAATCAATAGAGCTAATACAAATGTCAACGCAGGAATCAACTATTTAAATATTTAATTTCTTCCTTTCCTTTTTTTTCAACTAGAAAAAACTGGAAAACATTTCAATTCATATTAAATAATAATCCTTTCTAATTTCATTAAATCCTTCATTCAAGCTATTTCATTTTAATTTATATCCAAGATTCATTCTCAACTTACATATTAATTTTATCCTTTTTTTTCTTTTTTTTTACTCTTCCTTAAATTACTTTGCAAATGTGCAATTCGATTTCAATTTTACTCCACTGTTTAATCTCATCAACTATTTGCTTATTTAATACAGTATTAACTAATGTACCTTGTAATAGTACCTCTGTTTATTTCAATCAATCAATCTAGTACCTATCAATCATTCAAACGAAATGTTGTAAACAAATTAATGGTTATGTTTTCATTCTCGTATGTTATCCTAACATCCTCAAACCCTGCCTGGGGCCAGTGTTAACCATTAATTTTAAGACCTCCGCAAAATGTCATCTTCAACTTGAATCTCCTCTCGGAGAAAGCCAAACATAATTTTCAGCCCACATTTCCTTTGTACTCCGTTCTACGGAGCTAAAAATATTTTCGTTATTGTGAAATCATTAAAGTTAAGCAAGAATATTTTCATAAGAAGCATCAGTGAATTTTGTTAAATATTCAAATGTAATTTTTCAGAAGTTTAAAAACGTATTTCAATACTGATCAACAATAAGTCTCCCCCTATCACAACCTAATAAATCGTAAGATTTTTCTATCATTAATATTCATTAAAACATTGCTCAAATAACCATGACCTAAAATTTATGTTATTTTTTAGGAAATAAAGCTTTTGTTATCGATTTCTTGAGACGGGGTTACTCTGTTGTGTGTATTTGCGGTGGAAGGGGAGGATGGGGAGGAGAGAGATAAAGATCTTTTTTATGGTTTGCAATGTGATTTTCTGCAGTAGAGATAGTGAACGTCATATATATGTTGATATATAATTAATTGCATTTTTTTATCCGGAAATCACAGAATAAAGTTTTACATCAAACCTTGTTGGCTTTAAATGTCCGATTTTTGATTTCAGATATAACTCAATCATCATGCAGGTACTCAAAACTCATCCAGAGTATATAGACTTACTGAGACTGAAAAGTGTAAATTTTAAAGGTTCATATCCTGTTCTGTCTCTTCATGGGATTGGTGCTACAAGGTAAAAATATTTAATGTTTTAAGATGTTGATTTTATATTCAGTTCGTGTCTGTCCTGTATAATACAATTTATGAATGCAGAGATTATAATTTTTTGAAGTTTCTATATCCCCCCCCCCTATCAATTTGTACATGACCACTTATTTTTCTAAAGATGCATTTAATTGAAGTCATTGAATATTCAATAGATATTGATTTGATATTCTTTTGATATTCTGCAATGTTTAAAGATCTTAAAAATTAATTTTTATAGTCCCAAGACGGTGGAGGTAAATCATCTGCCGTTTAAAATAGGGAGAAGTTTGGAAGCCGACCTTCTCATCAGGGTAAAATATGCACATGGTACTCTTTAAAATTTAAGAAAATCTCATACATAAATTCAAGTGAACCTCCATTTTTACAAGGTTAGGTGCCAATTAATCCTTTTTCTTTGCAGTTTATATTTTTTAAAGGGACTGTAAGGGAAAAATGAAAGGGGGTATGGATAAACCCATTTTGCCTTTACAGTCCCTTAAAGAACAAAAAAATGTCATATTTAACACATATAAAGTTTTAAAGGTGAACTTTAAGTAGACGGTCTCTTTTAGACACAGATTATTAACAAAAATAAAAATAAACTGCTTTAGGACATAAACATCTCGAGAAACCATGCTAGCCTTAGTTTCAACAAGGACACCCATAGTGCTAGAATAACTAATACTGGGAGTTTGAATGGAGTCAGGTTAGCTGTTGTTCAGTGTTATATCAAGTGAATTTTTTAAATTGTTATAATTTCGTTTAATTTTTTCCTTTTTTTTAACTTTAAAAGTTTATTATCATTTACTTAGTGTGAACGGAAAGAATATTCCTCCAGGAGAAAGCTCTGGTGACCTGAACAATAAGGAATATAGGATTCAATTAATTTAATATTATATATTTTAATGGGTTCAAAAGCAATAAAATGTAATATATTTCCTTAAAGGGAGTGACTGGCTTTGTAAGGTTATAGTCGAACTGAGTATGCAGTGTTGTGGAAAACTTCTTTAGGATTCATTTGGGACATATCAAACTTTTTGTTTTTAATTATTAAATAACGACGACGAAAAATGAAGTTAAAATTATACAGTAATTGAATTAGATTGTTGGTTACATATTTCTCAACAGAAATTTGTCAATAAATTAATGCTAGAATCAACTATTTCGTTTTCATCATTTAATTGAATTTCTTATTTTCTTTGACTTTATTCGCAGATTTATTCAAATTCTTCAAATGTCGCGTTTTTAATAATATTCCAGAAAATCTTTGTGAATAATGAGAAATCATAATAAATGAGAAAATATAAACTAACTGAACAAGATTACTTATTTTTGATGATAAGATTAATTTTTGTTTTCTTAACCTATTCCTAAGCAACTAATTAGTTTATTGTAGATTTCTTTTACATTTTATGTCGTTGTTATTTAATAATTTTTATAAAATCTAAACATGTATCCACCCCAAAGTAGGAGTTTTGAACGTCAAGTTTGCTCTTAAACTCAGGATTTACAAAAAGTGTTCGATGTCTCAAATGAATC